TGGATTATTTTAAACATAATTGAATTAATGAACATGAGCCCCCCACTTTTAGATTGGTGTCTCAACCCCTGACATGAAGATGGTCTGCTTCATCTTTGCCAGGACACAGACTAAGCCAGCCCACCATGGACTGATCAGTGATCAGCTCCACCCCGCCGGTTACTGTGTACACGGCCAAGAATTATTGTCTCTAATACAGGCCACTACCCAAAATCAATGATTCAAGCCTGATGTCTATTTTGGTGCGGTAGACTCTACCACCCTGACTGGCATCAATGTTGAATCATGTCTGTTGCTCTGGCTGAACCAGGGCCGTACTCCAGCATGGTTGATCAAATCATGGACCATGGATGGTTATCATGATTGTATCATTCATTCTAGACTCATTGCTTTGCAGGCTACCCCAAACCATGATACAGGAATGTATCAAGGCTGATCCTATTGATATCAGTCATGATTCAAGGTAAAATTCTTGGCTGCGTATGGTGTATGCAGTTTAGATTCAAGTTTGGATCCATCTCTTTCTCTTCCACAATGACTGTCAGTATACCTGGGGTGATTCTCTCCTCTCTCATATTCAGTCTCAAGGCTACACCTTGAGACTGGATAGGATTAATTATTTAGTATTTCAAAACATCATGGCCCATCATCCCAGCAAGATCTTATAAGATGTTTCATGATTTCACATGACAATACAAGAAAACGCAAGATAGAAATCTTGTAAAATCTTGTCACGGAAATTCTTACAAATTCTTGCTTTAAGATTTCATAAGATTTTAAGAAGCTGTCAGATCTCCCGAGATCTAACATGACTATAATTTTTGTAAGAATTTCAAAGATCTTATGAGTAAAGGAATATGTTAGAAATGTAAGATCATGCCTAATTAAAATCTTGAAATATCCCACATTGTGAACTTTGTAAGAACTAACATGATTTTGTTAGCTTAAAATATTATAAGATCTTACAAAATCTCATAAGTTTATGATCTTGACAAATCTGCCATGATCTTATGATACTGTAAGATCACACATCACAGTATTTTGAGTCTTACAAGATCTTGAAAGATCTTACAAATCATGTGACGTCACAGGAAGTAGTTGACAACCCACGATAGCCTTAACAGTAATGGCAGCATATAAAGAAACTGAAGTTTTAATCACTTCAATCAAAAAAATCAATGACGTTCACATTCACATTTCACAACATTTTACACATGTATTATGCATTCATGCAATGTAAGATCTTGCCTAGATCTTACTGTTGCATTAATTTTTAAAGGGCATTGTATGCTAAAATACCATGCATGCAAGAACTTGAAGGAATCTTGATAACAAGATCTTCCACTATCTTACATGATCCTTGTTCCAAATTCAGGAAAGATCTTGCAAATTATTGTCAAGATTTTTGTCATGATCTTGTAAGAAAATTAACAAGATCTTGCTGGGAATTTTTATAAGGGAAGTTATTTATAGCTTCTTTGTTCATATGTGTGACATCCTTATGTTTATTTTTATTTAGTTGGTGAGCTCCTTTCTTCAAATTCAAGTCTTGCTCAGACCCTATACAGGGGTTCTCCTCAGGGGATGTTGTATTTGAATAAATTCTATTGTTCTGGTGATAATTGTCAACCAGGTTCCAGTTCAAGTTTTGCTAGTAATCCACAGTGCTTCAATGGTCAACTGGAAACTGTTGTAAGATGCTCTAATAGAAGTAAGACCATTATTTTTATTATATATGATACACCTTTTGTATTTACAGAGTCTTCTATTAGTTCTGCAGTTGTCGTTGGAGACATTGTTGGTGTATTGGTTGCATTCGTAGCGACAGTATTTTTTTGTTGTCATAATAGTAGTCATTTTTATAGTCATCCATTATAAAAGGATGCATAGACATGATGGTTCATTAAGAGTTAATGATGAAGATATTTATATAGACTGATATTGTTTGTTTTTGAAAGTATTTTGAATAGTTTTTATGTATCTTGTCATACTGGGCCTATTACTGTTAGGTAGATTCGAAAGGCGTGGTCTCACGTCACATTACTCAATACTCGTACTCATTATTTAGTTCATGGTGTCATCTATGATTTTATTATCTACTGCCTCTTGATGAAACGACGTTTCTCCGTTCCTTCTGTTCAGTCTGTTGGTGAGGATAGTTTAGATAAAAAACGTAGGATGACTGGAGCTAGATTAAGAGGAGAAGAATTTGGTCAGAGAGTTCCTCCTATTTTTGAAATAATTAAGAGCATCCTACTAGAGTATCCCAGTGGTCAGATATTTAAGGTAAACCTAATGTAAAATTTTGGCTGCTACACTTGTGATGTCAGTAGATTCTTGCTAGTATTTTTGGGGAAAAGTGTCACATAATTTTTCTCCACTTGCTGTTCTGCATGATAAGTCTTCTTGATTAACGATGATTTGTAGCTTCTTTTGAAGAATTGTGATACATAATATGTTATAAATTAATCTTAACTAATTAATTAATAATTGACATTATTATTTCAATACTAACTACTTTTCAGAGTATATTTGATGCATATTAAGCTACTGATACATAAATAAAATTTGCACCTGTAGTTACTTTATAGACCCATCTTAAGACTAATTATCATGAGCACTAATTGTACCATATATGCCAGAGAAATAATTTCATAATAATATTCATCGGTGAATAATGATATTCATGAAGCAAGTGTCACACCCACTGGACGGCAAGATGGCAGAGTCTGAATGAGTGTGGAGAATTTCATTGCTCAAAGCAAGCCTAATTCCAAGCTCATTGGGCTCCTCACTGTTCCAAAACAGAGAAAAAAATGGGCACCAGCTCCTAAGAGTGATATAATAGGGCTCTAGTGAATTAAACACAAAGATCCAGTGATGTGGTAGATGCAGCTTCGTCAAAATCTTGCTCATACAACAAATCTGGAACTTATTTACTCCTTCTTACAGCTTCTCTTAATGCTTTCTTTAATTATTCTTTAGTTTGAAAGCTGGAAAGCTTAAGATCAGCATTCAGCACATGCATTGCCAGTAGCTCTTGCTGTCCAGTATGGGTGGTTATAGAGTATACATGTATACTATATCCATAGATAACTACCCGTAAACGGGATTGGAAACTTCCGTTACTACCCACAGGTACCAGCCTACCAGGCTCGTTGGGATCGCTTTGTTCAATTTCTTAGTAGACCAATCGTGAAGGTTTGTGGGACTCTAGCTACTGCATTTTAGAATGAAGCAGCCCAGTTTTACTTCTATAGACTCTTCTTAAGAGCCTTTAGTGCACCGTGACGTTCATTTTAGTCTGTGTTGCATATTTTGTGAGTAATGAATCCCGAGCGATCTGGCAAAAATTCAAATAGCCTGAAAAGCTCTTATTAGTGAGTATTACCTTAAATAAATGTTATGTTGCACTGAAGGCTTTTAAAAAGTATCTATATAAGCAAAAACTTGCTTGCTTCATTCTGAAATACAGCTACTAGAGTCCCACAAAGTTTCACCATAGAGCCAATGCATTTGCTAATATTTTATCAGATTTGGTGGGGATACGCCCCAACGCGCCTTGCACCTCTTATCATTGAAGTTTCCAATCCCGTTTACGGGTAGTATATTTATGCTATATCCCAACTGAGTTTGACCCAAGAAAAACTGGAATAACTTTTTATATGAATGTGGGATATGGATGAAACTTTCACAGGTTCTTAGTTGCTCAATGCCATTACAGGATCTCAGGTCTTGGGTCTCTCAGCCCTTGGGAACCCTGAGAACCGGGTCCTCCCTTAAACCCAATGGCATACCAAAATGACGTTTTATGACAATTTATCTACGTCATAGTTTACACAAGTAAATAAAAAACATTAAAAATGGAAAAGTAGTAGGATTAAATTGTAAAAAAGTAAAGAAACAAGAGGGGACTTGCAAACTGGTGTGATATAAAAATCCTACACCACTGCATAAAAAATATTACCCAAAACCAATGCAATTATCCACACAGGCTACTACATGTACATGTACATGCATGGTAACTATGAAGTGATGTATTTCATGCA